CTTGGAAACCACATTGTTTACTCATGGAAACCACGTTGTTTACTCTTGGAAACCACGTGGTTTACTCTTGGAAACCACGTTGTTTACTCTTGGAAACCAGCGTTGTTTTCTCATGGAAACCACGTTGTTTACTCATGGAAACCACGTTGTTTACTCTTGGAAACCACGTGGTTTACTCTTGGAAACCAGCGTTGTTACTCATGGAAACCACGTTGTTTACTCTTGGAAACCACGTTGTTTACTCTTGGAAACCACGTTGTTTACTCTTGGAAACCAGCGTTGTTTACTCATGGAAACCACGTTGTTTACTCATGGAAACCACGTTGTTTACTCTTGGAAACCAGCGTTGTTTACTCTTGGAAACCAGCGTTGTTTACTCATGGAAACCAGCGTTGTTTACTCTTGGAAACCAGCGTTGTTTACTCTTGGAAACCAGCGTTGTTTACTCATGGAAACCGCGTTGTTTACTCTTGGAAAGCAGCGTTGTTTACCCTTGGAAACCACGTGGTTTACTCTTGGAAACCAGCGTTGTTTACTCATGGAAACCACGTGGTTTTACTCTTGGAAACCAGCGTTGTTTACTCTTGGAAACCACGTTGTTTACTCTTGGAAACCAGCGTTGTTTACGATCAATGCGTTTAGAAAGGTCTTTAATATAATTCTAGGTTACCACATGGACTGAAATTGTATTGTTGTTTTATATTGACAGATGCATACATTATTATTCACCAGTGCCTCTCACCTATGTTATAATTTCACACAATTTTATAAATCACCTCACGTGTATTCCCCAGGACATTGCCACATATCCCCAGGGGTCCGTGCACTCCCGGGTTGAGAGGCACTGCTCTAGAGCCCCTCCAGTGGTGAGAGGCCTTTCCCGCTATGCGTGGCCTGAACAAGCAATGTCAGGACTGCACATCTGTGGATAGTCAGCACAGAGGTGCAGCACCAATGGATAGTGCCTGTCAGAGAAATTAAATTCTCACCATTGGCTCAGGGACATCAATGGAGATGAACTAGGGTTGCCAACCCTTACCGGGAATTGGCATTGATCTCCCGGCGCCTATTGAAAGCAATCCGGGAGATTTTAAAAGAAAATATTTGAAGAAAATAAAAACAAGTTAAACATCTCCCGGGTTAGCTTCAGTCAAACTTGGCAACCCGAACATGAACATGGCTGAATGTTGAATGTCTGTGTGAGTATGGGAACACTTTGGCTGTTGACTAACATTATACACCTACATACGCCAAATGTTTTGTCAATCCACTGCTGGATAGGTCCTCCACACACAGTGTGGGTCCTAGATGTAATTTGATGATACATTACCATCCTAGGAAGTGTGGGGTGTGAAGGCGCGGGAGCATAGACAGGGATTCATCGGAGTACAGTGCAACAATGCATTTTGCTGCATTGCCCACAACATAGCACTGAGCTCTAACACCAGTAATATGGAGTGGTCATGCATCAAAGCACTCTCCTGTCTCGCCCTGCATAGCTTCTGACGCCTGACGAGATCGGCTGCATGCTGGCTTGTTTGGTCATGCTAACATGTTACATATTACATGTGATTATACAGTACCACGTTTACATATTTACATCGACTATCGGTGCACCAAGGGAAAGATTTCCCTTTCAAAAACGCACGCTATTTGATTTATTTTGCCCACAAACACTATTTAATTTCACGTGGGAAATACGTCTCCGCTTGGGGGTTGTCCTTGTGAAAATGTTTACAACGGAATTGTAGAGCGAAATGCATAATATTCGAGGCACACCCCCTCAAAAACTAATTACACATGCAGTACATTGTAAGCGTGCGCACGTGAAGGCGATCTTATCTTGTAAAAAAAGATACATATTTCTAAAATCGCACTTTGTCCCATAAAATAGGATCTACCTGTTTCCACCGCTATCTTGATCCGACAAAAGTCCTTATCATATGTATGCAAATAATGATCGCATTGAATGTATAAATCAGGAGGTGTGCATTCTATTACATTCTGCTCTCTCTCTGTCTATGTAAATGACTCGTGTTATACAGAGCAACAACCCCAGATAGGAAAATGAGAATCGTGCCAGATATGCTGGATTGTCGCGGGCATGAGGAATGGCAGTAATTTCAACGGAACATTTATAGAAAGTTCGGTGAAAGATTGAGCCCGAATGCGAGAAGCCGTTTGCGTATTCAGGTGAGCTGAATTTAGGAGTCAATTTCAATGAGAGTAGAATAGTGAAATCGGGGGTGGGGGGCAGGGGGTGAGTATATAATTAACACTTTCACTTAAGTGGCACAATGCGATCGTGTAAGAACAATTAGAAGTGTTGCGTTGTTTGGGCGCCGTCGAATAAATGGATCTTCGGGACGATGGAGATGGCAGCGGTGATGGCCTTTGCAGGAAATACATTTCGCGACACTCTCTCTGCCAGATGTCGAGACACATTCTAAACGAGTCGGACACCGCCGAGTGCAATACCTCGGTGTCCTCGAAGCAAGTTAGAGCCATGATTACAAAGATCAATTTATTTCTCGTGTCCCACACTGAAAGCAGGCGAGAGCCAAATGACATTCATCATCTCTTTTGCAAGTAGACTAAGAGTAGGTTACTCGCAACAACAACAAAAAAAACCTCCCTTGCTGATCCACTCTGAAAGTAAAATTCCCCAATGCTTGTATGCTGCTTTGAGGCTATCTCATAGCCACAGGTTTATTTGTAGCCTCACGAGCACGTGAACGTCACTGGGAGGCCTAGTTCCTAATTGGGGGTATGCTCTCATTTGTCAACGCTTGTTTCTGATTGTTCTCCATAATTTCAGTTTTTTGTTAAATGCTCATTATTTTTCTTCATACTCAATTTAAATGCACAATGCACACGGCGATATCAAAAGCTGAGATTACTTCAGACGCCCGTTAATCCGTTGCTATATTATGAGGTAATCCTTGCTAAGAGCGATGCACTTTTTAATTGAACGTTGACCCTGTGTTCTAGCACCATTCCGTCTCTGTCAGTACGCGCTGTTTGATCAGCTCTCATAAATCCCTGCACAAATGAGCGGGTGCGCCGGAGGCAATGAACCTTCGACGGTGGGCTTGGTGCCGGGTTCACCCACTGCTAGACCATCGTCCAGCTGGCAAGCTCACGACAGTTGTGGTCAGTTGTGTCCACGAATCGACCGACGCACGGAGACAGCGGCGTGGGGTGAAGATGCCGCATTGCGCCCCGTTCAGATGCGCTGATCCTGCTACGGCCCTCTGCAGAGCGCTCTTCCTTCCGATATTCGGAAGCCCCTGGAGCTGTGTAGATTGCAAACTCATTTCTTTAGAACTGTTTTTTTGTTTGTTTTCCACTTGTCGTTCCCCCCCTCCCCCGCCGCACCTCCGATTGGCACGGTTGGCTACGTACGGCGTGAAAGAAGTCCCGCATGCATACGTAGACCACCCAGCTGCCAAGCTCACGACAGTTGTGCTCAGTTCGGCTTTTGTTCAGTTAATGAAGAGTGCAAGGGCACCGGCAAACGGTGCGGTGGTTGAGAATGTGGGAACACAGAGGTCGCCGCTCCGATCTCCCGGTGCGGCAGTTGAAGCAACGGTGCCGGTTTCTGAAATCCCTCCCTACCCCACCGCCACCTCTGTCCACCCATCAGCACGAATCAGGCTGTCACTGGAACCAGCACACCACAACTCCCAACAACAACAACAGCCGCCATTCGCTGCTTAGTGGCGGTGACATCACCACAGACCTTGTGCCAGCCTAGGTGCACATACAAACACATACACAGTCCAGCATCAAAATCTCATAATCCTCGCCTCAATCAAGGCCGAGTGTCTCCCCTGTTCAAGGGAACATGATTTGACAAATCTGGCTGTCACCTGATGAAGCTAGTTGTAATTACTGGAGAAACGTCGTACTCAGATTGTAAATGTTGTGGCTTGGCTCTCCAATACACCGGTGTGCTGTACTAGTGACAAATTGGCACGTTCTGTTTCCGTGACAACCCTTACTAGTTGGCTGTGTCGGGTGGTGGTGGGTTTTAACGACACATATATTTACGCGATCTAACCCAAAACACCTCTATTATGGAGCATAAATGTGTTCCACTGAAGGTAGTTGTTGATCGGCGGGACGCGTTTGGTAGGGTAAAGTGTGGGTTCTGCCACCTCTTCCGAGATACACGGCCGGCATGGAAGAATGGGCCAAGTACCAACCTCTTCCAAGTTTCGTTTTAAAGCTTTCGTGACTGCAGGGATTCATATTCTTGGTTCTTTCGGTAAAGTCACGTAGAAGGTACAAAAAAAAACTATAAATATTTTATTATTTCCCTTCTACGTGACTTTACCGAAAGAACCAAGAATACTCTTCCAAGTTGTCTGCTCATTGTGGAAGGGCAGACCAAATGCCTTCACAAGGGGCCCTCAAGAGCTCCCTCCAGTGAAGGCCTTTCACCTTTTTACCTTTTGAAAATCAGCTCTTGCTCAGTCGGTTCGTGCATTGTGCAATGAACCTGGTTTACCTGAGTTGGATTCCTGGCCACAGTTAACATCAGTCACGAGTTACATATTAAACCAATTCGAGGTTCCCCTTCACCAATCTGCACTGAGCAGTGCGTGTGAAATATGATCAAATAGCGACAATGACTCACACAGTGCAAGGAGGCATTCATCCAACCGTGCATGGGCTGTTAAGGCTATGTGGGGGATTTTTGTCCTTTGCATAATGTGTCTGGGGTACGGTAGCGCAGTGGCTTGCACACTATGCGACGATCATGGCTACTTGAGTTTGATTCCTGCTCACGGCCAAAATGAGTGTTGGTTGCAGCATGTGTTAACATCGGCACTGGGGCGACCTGCTGGCCACAACACCCGCTCGTGCCCCTTTGCAGGCACGAAAGCTTCAAATCTAGAAAGCTTCAAATCTCGAATTTGCAGGGTGCTCACTCGCAGCCCTTGCCCCAAACGGTCTGCGTGCCTACATGGGAGATCTTTGTCTTTGTTGGTTAGGTACGACTGTACGCACGTCCGGAAGCCGTGAGACGTGGCTCCGCCGACTCGGCCCTCAACATCACCCTGCAACTGCTGGACTTCTACCACGACTTCTTCAATCTCAGCTACTCCCTGCCCAAGCTGGGTGAGCAGAGCGAGCCAGTGTCCACGCCCCTGTCTCCGCCACGCACGCAGCTATTGGCCCGTTGCTGTGGGAGTGGAGAACTTCTCCCTCGTTACTGCTGGTGCTGCTGCTCTCAGTCTCCGACTTTCCACTGCAGGGCAAAGGCTGCCCTCAATTTTGTTGCTTTCTGTACGTTCCTTGGTTGTTTCTTGTACAGCAGTGGCCTCCAAATAATTTGATGTTTCTTTTTCTCTTGCAATCTCTTCCGCTGTCTACGCTGTATGTATTGTTGTCTCTCATATTGATGTATCCGTTAATTTAGTTAATCTATCGTCAGTTAGCATTCCCACTTGCTGAAGGCCAAATAGGGCTTTCAAATCCATTTAGTTTAGTTTAGTTTATTTATTTTGGTATAGCCCTGTGAGCCATTCGGCTCTTGAATCGGGTGCAACCACAACAAACAAAAAAACACGAACAAGAAAAACATCATAAAGTGACAATGTGACCGTGCAAACAGAAAAGCCATGAAAAAAACAGCAAAATATTCCTGAAAAAAGCACCGTACACCAACGCTGTGTGCAAAAAATCCCAGTGGGATGCAAGTCAAACAACAACCACAAGAAAACTTAGATTAAGGCCATCAGTCTAACTCCGTACTACAACATAACAAACATGTCCAAACCGAAAAACGTTTTTGAAATCACCAAAAAATAAGCCATTTGACGGGTCATAGACTAGCACACACCTTAATTGCTTCTCTCACTCAGAGGCCCTTCCAGCGACTGAGAGCTATGACGTCAGACACTCAGTGTTGCCATCTAGTACCTGATTAGTGGGGTAAAGATGCTTGCAGTGATGGATACATATTTTTTTGGGCCATATGAAATCTCGAATACAGCCCACAGGCTGTAGGTTCTGCACCCCTGGTCTTGGCTAACAGTCAGAAGGTCGGGAGTTCAAATTCCAGGAGGTGGTTGCCTCAGCCCTTAAATCATCTTTGTTTGATCAAATGAGTCGTGCTTTTGGTAGGTCGCCACGGTGGCGAGATGTTAACTACCCCACTTGGTATGCAGGAGGTTGTGGATTCGATTGTGACCCCGACGTCCGTATATCTGAAGGTTGCATGTTCTCCTCGTGCTCGTGTGGATTTTTCTTCAGGTCCTTCGGGTTTTCCCTCCACATTTAGAATCAACGTGCGTGTTCAAGTATTTGTCTGCTATAAATTTCCACGTGATAAGCGACTTCGTTGAGCTGTCATTGACAGCCAGGTCTCTTCTGAGAAAGAGCTACATAGCTCAGTGGGGCCTTACCTGGTAAAATAAAAAAATAGTTTAATAGCAAAACAAATAAGAGTTGGATGGGTCAACAGTGATCATGTTAAGGAAAGGAGAGATTGGGCCTCCACCATGGGAATGTATTTCCATCACTGACTCAAGACTGCCAACATATATCAGGGCAATTTGACTGTTCATTCGTGTTGGGAGATGCTTAGAATTTACCTTCATTCATGCGGTAAATTATCTACTTCGAGCATTGTCTTGCATATTTTATCTGAATCCATTAAAACATGTCTCGCAAAATGAGAACAATATAATATTGATAAATAATGCTACGAAATGTTTTTTATTATTTACCCTGAAATGCCTCACTTGGCATATTTGGTCAATGCCATAAATGATTAGTATTTTTCACTGGTTGTAGATTCAATTACTTTTCCACTAATATTTCTGAATAAAAAAAATAAAATCAACATAGCTTGCTCAGGTGTATTTTATGAACAATTATTGGATAAACGCATGTTAGCAAAGAACTGTAAAATATACTGCTTTGAGATGCACAGAAGGAAGTACTATTATTATTTTTAGATCAGCAAACATGTTGCGAACATAACCGTATCGTTAACCCCACATTCTCGTATGCTTTTCTCCAGGAACCCCAATTTCATCTCTCTTATAGGAATAGGTTTTACCCTTTTAACTGGCACAAAAACTGACACCTTTATTCAAGGCATCATGTTTGCAAAAACCACAACACAAGCAGTCAGAATGCAAACAAAAAAGACAACTCTGATAATATGCACTGTCCTTGAATTTGATTGGTCCACACCCGAGACAGCTTTTCTTAGAGCCTAGTCTCCATTGGTGTTGGACCAGAAGACGCCAAAAGGCGTACAACTCAAAAACAGCGCACCATCAGAGTATTGAGGGCTCGGGGTGAGCATTTACATTATGAGACCTCCTTTGCCAGAAACAAGATATAGGAATAGGTTTTACCCTTTTAACTGGCACAATGAACAATGGGCGGAATTGAGTGGAATCTTGATAAAGGCACACCTTTTACTCGAGCACAGTTCTGATACAAGCAATGCATTCTTTATGCTACGCTGGTGGGGAGGATGGCAAAAGGGGCGGCATCTGACACAAATGCACCATTTCTGATATAAGCACAGCTTGCCTCATTCGCAAGTGGTGTGCTTATATCCAGCCTTTACCATATCCCAAGCAGGACTCTCCCAAAAGAGAATCGTGTCACTCTGTTGGGGCTGTTTTTGGGAGATAAAGGTCTGGGATGGTGGAGAATCACACGAATAAAAGCAACATGCTCTCTCCGCAAAGGCAGCGAAAACAAAACAAACACAAAAACACCTCCTGGCCGCGAATTGCAATTATGAGCCGGCTTTTGATGGGTCATCCTGCGCGTGCCGAGCGATAGCGGTTGCTGGTCGGCACGTGCGTTTGTAATCACCATGCCGGAATGGTGTGTTCTGGGGCCAATTTCGGGCAATTTCAGGACAGGTTGCTTGCAGCCCGCTCCGCCAAATGGCTCCGACTTGTCACCGAAGCCCCCCTCGTCATTGTCAGACACGCTTAGTCCACCGACTTATCTAAACATTCGCGGCGTTTTCCACTCGACGCTAAGTGCCCCTACCCCGCCTTGTAACCCCCTCCCGTGGAAATCAATCACTCAGCCAATTGCCAGGAATCCGCAGTGTGCCGTGAGCTCTGCTACTCGGGGACTATTTTGCATGCGCGCGCCCGTCCGTGCGGTTCCTCGATCAGTGGTTATAAAAAAAAAGTGGGGGGGGGGGCACTCTTTGGCCATCGCGGTGTTTGGTGAATGTTGTTACTGGGTAAGGTTAAAACTGGACAGGCCTTGGGCTGGCGTTCAATGTGGGGAGTCGCTTTTGGAGGGACGCCTTTGTCCAGCTGAATGATGATGATGATGCAGTAGCTGATGATGATGGTGTTTTGTTACGGCCTCAAATTCAGTATCGTTTTAGCTGCGGTTGCCCACTCCCTGCCCCTTGCTCGAGTGCCGACACGACATGCTCCTTATCTCTGCTGACTGACTCCCATCTGTGCAACCTGTTCAATAAGTGCGTAGAGCCCTCCCTGCTTTTGTTGGTTCCCCCGTGATGTCCATTTTTTTTCTTATGCAGCTGTATTTAGATGTTGGAGAAATCCCAAATTGCAGTGCTGGATTAAGTTCGTGCGGGCCTGTAGCATATGTTATAAAGGGGCCCCTAATTTTTTTTAAAAAATATTAAAAAACAAATGTTTAACTTACACAGTAAAGTGATTGTATTTTTTTCATTTGCTATACAAATAGATAATACGACAAATCGCTAACCTTTAACACTCAGTCGTTCATAAAAGTTCAAGGCAGTATAGTACTATAGTAATATAGCAAGTGCAGAATCACTGAACAGAAATTGATAGCTTGAAAGCATTTAGCGCGAGGCCCTTGAAAGTGCAGGGCCCGTAGCATACATAGATACTTTTGCGACTAGGATAATCCTGGCACTGCCAATTTGTATGTACAGTGAGGGAAAAAAAGTATTTGATCCCCTGCTGATTTTGTACGTTTGCCCACTGACAGAGAAATGATCAGTCTATAATTTTAATGGTAGGTTTATTTGAACAGTGAGAGACAGAATAACAACAAAAAATCCAGAAAAAACTCATGTCAAAAATGTTATAAATTGATTTGCATTTTAATGAGGGAAATAAGTAGTTGACCCCTCTGCAAAACATGACTTAGTACTTGGTGACAAAACCCTCTTTGGCAATCACAGAGGTCAGACGTTTCTTGTAGTTGGCCACCAGGTTTGCACACATCTCAGGAGGGATTTTGTCCCACTCCTCTTTGCAGATCTTCTCCAAGTCATTAAGGTTTCGAGGCTGACGTTTGGCAACTCGAACCTTCAGCTCCCTCCACAGATTTTATATGGGATTAAGGTCTGGAGACTGGCTAGGCCACTCCAGGTCTGGAGACTGGCTAGGCCACTCCAGGATCTTAATGTGCTTCTTCTTGAGCCACTCCTTTGTTGCCTTGGCCATGTGTTTTTTTGGTCATTGTCATGCTGGAATACCCATCCACGACCCATTTTCAATGCCCTGGCTGAGGGAAGGAGGTTCTCACCCAAGATTTGACGGTACATGGCCCCGTCCATCGTCCTTTTGATGCGGTGAAGTTGTTCTGTTTCCTTAGCAGAAAAACACCGCCAAAGCATGTTTCCACCTCCATATTTGACGGTGGGGATGGTGTTCTTGGGGTCATAGGCAGCATTCCTCCTCCTCAGAACACAGCGAGTTGAGTTGATGCCAAAGAGCTCCATTTTGGTCTCATCTGACCACAACACTTTCACCCAGTTGTCCTCTGAATCATTCAGATGTTCATTGGCAAACTTCAGTCGGGCATGTATATGTGCTTTCTTGAGCAGGGGGACCTTGCGGGCGCTGCAGGATTTCAGTCCTTCACGGCGTAGTGTGTTACCAATTGTTTTCTTGGTGACTATGGTCCCGGCTGCCTTGAGATAATTGACAAGATCCTCCCGTGTAGTTCTGGGCTGATTCCTCACCGTTCTCATGATCATTGCAACTCCACGAGGTGAGATTTTGCATGGAGCCCCTGGCCGAGGGAGATTTACAGTTCTTTTGTGTTTCTTCCATTTGCAAATAATCACACTAACTGTTGTCACCTTCTCACCAAGCTGCTTGGCAATGGTCTTGTAGCCCATT